GTCTACTAAGGGAATCAGTCTCTCGAGACTGACCTCTGGTGTAATCAGAGTGGCTAGCTCGGTGCCCTGGAGTGGTGGACCGGCAAGGGACGGCCGAACTAGCTGCTCTAGAGACCTCCGAAGAGGTAGCGAGCCTCCCAGTACCGCTATGTTTCCAGGCAGAGACTGAGAGAAGCGCTCGCCGGAGACCGCTGCGCCCTGAAGTACCGTGGGTGGCAGGTTTGGCTGATCGATCTCCTGAGGGCACTGAGGAGAGACGGGCACCATATGATGAGGTGTACACTGCTCTTCCCCAGAGGGGCCTGCCCTCAGACGTCCTAAGCCACCAGCGTCAGGACTTCTTGGCCGAGGTCTTCTTAGACAGAAGAACGGTCCACAGATCCGGCTTCACCTTAGAAGACCCCGGTCTAGAGCGACGCTCTGCTTTTGTGCCTCCCGGTATGAAGAGCTGGTACACGGAAGGGGCTGCTCCCGCCCGGCAGCCCCAAGAGCTAGAGAGCGGCGAGGGAGGAACCGCTGAAACGCCGCCACCTGTTTACGAGCCTCCTGAAACCTGTCTACGACGAAATTGATGGCGTCACCGAACAGGCCAGAAGGGGCAAGCGGGGCGTCCATGAGGAAGACCCTGTCCTTCTCTTTCATATCAGACAGGGTCAACCACAGGTGTCTCTCCACCTCCGCCGGGTGGTCTCTTTGGTGGCACGATCAGCGGTCCGTCTGAGCTCGGAGATATCATCAGACTTAACTTCCTCGCCTTCATCTAGCTCTTTCAGCAGATCGGCTTGGTAAACCTGCAACACCGCCATGGTGTGCAAGCAAGCGGCAGCCTGACCTGCTGCCATGTACCCCTTGCCCACCAGCGCTGAGGTGGTCCGCAGCGACTTGGAGGGCAATGCCGGAGCCTTCAAGGACAATGCCGTGCCAGGGGACAGATAGCTTGTGAGCGTCTGTTCGACCCGAGACCCCTGTAGCCGTGATCATTCAGCCCCGCCACGTTGGCATAATAACTGCAGGCAGGACTAAAGATACGGGCTGAGAAGGGTCTTACCCACGACCTCGACACCTCATGTGGAGATCGGGGAAGAAGGGCAGGCACCCGCGTGGAGGTAGCGGCTTACTCCGCAAAAAGCATTCGTCGAGTTTGCTTTTCAGCGGTTCAGCCTGTTTCTCGGCGGGCCAGTCGATGTTTAACTTGGTCATGGCACAGTTAACTACCTACAATAACTCCTCATACTGGGGAGAGTGAGGGGGCAAGTCCTCATCGACGCCCTCCATGTCAACCTCATCGGAGAAAGCGAGACAGAGGGTCGAGCCCTCTCCCCGGGGGGGAGAAACCACGGAGCGGGCTTCCGATCCCAGAGAGTGGGCGCTGGATCTGGCCTTCCAGGAGCGAAGTGTACGCAGTGGCAGATGCTTGCAATGCGGGCAATCAGCTCCCTTGAGAGCTGACTCAGCGTGCTTTGCTCCCAAGCAGACAACACACAAACTGTGTGTGTCCCCACCCATAAAATAGCGCGGGCAGGGAGGAACACACAGCCTATAATGCTGCCTGCTCTCGCTCTTATGTTTAACTTTGGCCTTAGGCATGATGGACAAACAACGGAAAGAACTGACACACACACAGTGCGCTTGCTGAATGACAGAAAGCTGCCGCTGTATCCACCCCACATGCTTTTAAGCTTCCTGGTCTCTACGTCACCCCACCCGTGACGTCTCACCCATCCATTAGACTGATTACACACGTGATTCAGAGCATGGTCACACATCCCATAGCGTTTCGATGCAGCTTGAGTTTCTGAAGGGGAACTGGCTGGATGTCTTGCTGTCTCCATAAACAAGCTCCATAATCAATCTGGTAATACCAGCCAGACAGTGAGGGATGTTTCACAGACCACTGCCTGCATTTCTAACAATTATTCTAGCATGGGCTTCAAAGACTACCAGTGTGTTGAACTACAACCCAGACAACGAGTTCTGCTTTGCTGACTTGTCTTACATATTAATTACATTTATTCCATGATCAGTATTACACTTAAGATGTAACTACATTTATTACATTTATTGTACTGTGTTGCCAAAGGAAGATGGATTTCCACAGCTAAGTGTTTTTCTCCCACTAAAGTTGTTTCTCCCAAAGAGAAAAAAGACCAAAAACAAAAAATCAAACTGATGTTTCATTGCATATTCCCATATTCCTACTGCATGTGATCAATACCTTGAGTGCCAATAATCTCCATGTGCAGGTGGGCAATGCCGCTGGCAATGGACAGTGCCAGAACTATCATCCCCTCCACTGATACTGTGTATCTGTTCAGGTAATCAAAGAGAGACCCGTGCTCATGATACTCAGACACCAGCCACAGCTGTGTCCATGAGCCATTATCTGAAGAAAGACAGAAAAAAAGATAGATTACAATGCAGGACATTCAAACAAGATGAAAAAGAACATACCAGACTATTTGAAAACCTATGTATGCCAAAATGCATGACAAGTTCTTAGAAATGTACTCTTTGTATTGATGCTGGTTTCATACGTAAAAAAAAAACTTTTTTTTTTATTTCATTTTGATTTGATTTAAAACTCAAAAATAAAATATAATATTTTCCTCACACATGTGACTGTACATGTAATATTAATTCACCTGCTCATAATCTTTATCATTATTATTTCACAAATGTATTTCAAATATACATATGCAATCAAAATGATTCAACCCCTCAGGGACTGTATTACTTTAGAAATGCAAACATTTCAGAAGATCTAGAATTTTATAAAAACTGCATCTATAACAGTTTTTGTTTTTGTTTTTTTTGACATATTACAAGTGATAATGTCTATAGATATGTAATATTTTTGAATTACAGGATTTTTTAATAACACAGCTATGTCATATGTCAACCGCTATGCAACACTGCTGTTTTAAGTCACTAATTTTTATGGTAGGAAAACAAAATTGTCTTAAAACACAAGTCTTTAGAAACTCTGGTAGAAAACAGAATTACAGTAGCTTCAGCTGTTATGCATACATAAACTTAGCTGATGCGTGTGTTAAAGGTGAGTGCCAAATAAGTCAACAGAGCTCTCTCAAAAACTATAGAGAATAAATTGTTTTATTACATCAGAAAGTCTAAGGCTACATGAAGATTTACAAGTCACTAAAAGTTCCCAGAGACAGCTTAGTCCTTATTCCTTAGCTTAAAATATGTTATACCAGAAAACCTTTGAGGGTGTTGAAGAAAAAGCACAATATCATAAAACTTTTTGACCAGAGCAACTGAGAAAAAAACTGCAATGTACTGTTAAAGACTTGCAAGGTGACCTGATGGAAGGAGGGAAACAACATTTCAATGCAGAGTATAAGAAGAACGCCAGACAAGTATGCCCTTCATGTTAAGGCATCTTCACGAATACCACTCTTGAGCATGAAGAACATAAAAGGCTAGATAATAATTCTTCCTGTAGTTCTGGAAGAATCATTTATGGATTGATGTGACCAAACTAGAACTTTTTGGACCCATTGGATCAGCAGTATATCTGGTGGCACGTCCTTATTTTGCTGAGTTAGATGTGTTCCTAGGTCAGCATATTTTGTTGACCCTGGAACAACATTTAAATCCAAAAATTTAGTCTTGACCATATCCCTACACCTAAACCTAACCTTAACCATGAGTAATCCCTAAAATCAGAGGAAATGATAGATGAATGATACTGATGTACAAGCACCAAACACTGATTGTAAGCCTAAACTTCAAAAAAACTATAAACTGGTTCTTCAAATTTGATTGATTAATCACAATGTTGTTCCAGGGTCAACAAAGATGTTGATCCAGGAACATGTCGCACTTGGTAAAATCAGGTTCTGCATATCTGATGCAAGAAAAGCAAAGCTTATAAGCAGAAAAACACCATGCCCATGGCCAAATATGGAGGTGGACCTGTCTTGTTATCAGGGTGTTTTTTCTGTTGGAAGTGAAGTTGTTGACTGTATGAAGGACATCATGGATTCTTTTAAGTATCATGCCATTTTGGCAAAGATTGTGATGCCTTTGCTGCAGAGACTAAAGCTTGATCATCAATGGACTTTCCTGCAAGACAGCCTTCCCAAAGTAAACATTCAAATCTACCTATGCTTGGTTCAGTGATAGATCATAGAATGTTCTTGAGAAGTCTGTTCAGTCTTCATATTTGAAATTGTGCTGAAAATATTTGGTGGAATTTGAAGAAAGCAGTGGTAATGTGAAAACCAAAGATCATCAGTGATATGAAAGCTTTTTCAAGTGAGGAATGGGCCAAGATTGCAGTAGAGAGGTGACATAAACTTCTAAGCACTTGCAAGGAGCGTTTATTTAATTGTTATAAAGATTAAAAGATTTGACTTTTGGGGGTTGAATAATTTTGTACATTAATGTTTAGAGACAATTAGATTTGTTTTTCCATTATTCATCACCTTTATGTTCTCATAATCACTCAAATGTGTTTTAATAAACTTTCTCTAATAGTTTACTGATGCCTTTGTTGAATTTCTTGCACAAAATTTTGTTCTTGGCAGCAAAATCAAATAATTTTGATTGCAACTATATATGTACAGTATATGTATATGTGTGTATATGTAGAGGAAAGTCAGGTTTGGAATGACATTAAGGGAGTAAATTATGACTCCTTTTAAACTTGCATTGGTTTGGTAACCTAAAGCAAGATGCATGAGGAGCAATAACTTATTTAACAAAATGTCTTGGTAAAGTATGCAACCTTGGTTTCCTGAGTAGAGAACAAGACAGTGCATCAGTAACTGACACTATGGGAATGCATATGTAACCAAGGCATTCTCATCTTTGCTATGAGAACAGTATACTGCAGCACCAAACAATGAGGTAACTGCTGGGTTATCAGCCTGCCACTGCACATATATCCTCCGAGGACACTCTTCTAAGCAAAGTTTGGGGAAAAGCCACATCCCTCGTAGAGTGTGCAAAAAATTCCCAGAGGTGAAGATAACCACGCACCTCAAAAAGGTTTACAAATAGCATTTCTCACCCAATGAGATATCCTCTGCAGGATAACAGCAGCTCCCCTGCTACAGCCACCTTAACAAACGAATAGCTGCTCAGACTTGTTCCACTGGCTTATATGGTCAGAGTAAACCTTTAATGCCCTAACTGGGCAAAGCCTGTGCAACCTTTCACTCTCCAGAGACTCAAAGGGCAGAGAAGAAGAGGACTGTAACAAAACAGCTTGGGAGCAATACGAAGTCAACACAACCCTGTGGACCAGATCCAACCCTTGCTCTCTGCACCATGGAAACAAAATGCTGCCCCTTAAAGGCATTCAAGAACTCTTTGGACAGAACCAAAGAGTGCACTGTGCTGTTTTGAAGCAACAGATCCACCTCTGCCCTTCTGAATCTCTGCCAGATCAGACTTACTACTTAAAAGTGTAGCCTCCACTCTCTGGGCCTCAACCTGTGCCTTGAGAGCAAGTTTGCTCCCAGGTTTAGCCAACCTGAGAGATAGACCACCCTGAATGACAGGGCATGCTCTGTGCCCAGAACAGAACACAACTTGCTAACTTCCACAAGGGATAAGATTCCCCCATTGACGTTTCAGTTACAAGAAAATTGATCAGGGCCAAACACAGCCATCTTCTCTAAACACATTTATGTGCCAAATGAGATGATTGCCCACACCCCAACTCACCAAAGAGGCATCTGTGATGATCATCTTGCAACGACAGATTGCACTTCGGAGTAGTGGGGCTGTTTTCATGGTAACAGAGTCCTATGCATGTAATGCCAACGGGGACTTTACCCCCTGACTGTTGATCCACCATTAAAAGAGCCTCATATTGAGCAGGTCAAATGAAACTCGCAAGGACACTGTGCCATATGCCATAATACATACCATAATACCTAATAGTATGTGACATAAACCCACTTGGATCATCTGCAATTCCCAGCTCTGAAATGACAGAGTGCATTGTGCATTAAACCAGATTCCCTTCTAGAAAAAAGAAGAAAAAAACATCTGTTACACCTCAGCAACAAATTGCAATCTCCTGTGATTGTGGAAGAATAAACCAATGTTTGAGGAAGTTTAAAACCTGCACACCCTGAAGCCTCAATGGGGCCAGAGTGGAATCCATGCATTTCATGAATATATGTGAAGCTAGGGCCAAACCAAATGAAAGAACAGAAAACTGGTAAGCCTGGGGAACTTCCTGTGTCTCTGGATGGTCTCAATAGAAAAATATGCATCCTTCAGATGCACCATCATGAACAAATCTCTGGTTTGAATCTGAGACAGAATTCTCTTCAGTGTCAGAATTGTTAAACTGCACACTTTTTGTGCATCCATCCTGGATGCAAATCCAGGATCAGACGCAAACAAGCATCCTTCTTCGAGACCAGAAAATGCCAGCATCCCTGTGAGAAGGAGACATTTCTTCTATGGCTCCTTTCTCTAACAGAGAAAGCATATCATGCATCAAAACTTGAGCTTTCAAAGAACTAACAGTTGTGGGGAGCACTTTGTTGAAATGAGGCGGACTGCACCAGAACTTGATTGTATGGCGTTTGGGCTCCTTGCTACTATCACCTCTGGCTTGCTTAGTTGGGGACACTAAATATACAGCAATATTATTGAAATGAACGTACTGACACAATTAGATAAGAACTGAACTGAGCTAGATGATGAAATCACTTTCTACAGGGCTACTTTACAGCTAAATTAACTACTTTCATAATTGACTTTACACAGTTATTGAACACAGAATTGATCTCTGTTTGCATCATTGAATCATTATTTTCCTGTTTATCCTTGTAAAGCTGTATTGTATAAAGTGCTTTATAAAGGTGACTTGACTTGACTTCTGTAACCTTGCTGTATGATTAGAAGAACCAATAACACTTGACTTTAGTATAGGGACCAATTCTCACTATTAACTAGTTCCTTATTAGCATGCCTATTATTAACATATTGGCTGTTTATTAATACTTATAAAGCACATATTCTGCATGACCATAGTCTACATCCCTAATCCTACCCAAAACCCAAATTTAACAACTACCTTACTAACTATTAATAAGCAGCAAATTCTGAGATTATTGAGGCAAAGGTCATAGTTAATGGTTTGTTATTGTTATTTGTAATTGGACCTTAAAATAAAGTGTGACCGAAAAACCCATTGAGATATCTTTGGCAGAAGTCACCATGCCAAACAATCTGAAAGGAGATTTAGATGATCCACAGCAGTTGTAACAGCATAGCCAAAAACTCCACTCTGAAAGTCTGGAGCGTCCATAAAGAAGGACGTGTGCTTGGTAGCCTGCAGCACCAAGTCAGTAGCTTGCCTGAGCTCCTTGACTGCCCCGGCTGTCAAGACAGAGCCCTCATCTACAGTATGTCCTTAAGGACATCTGCCTGTAACACCCTCATAGTGCATAGAGCCACACCTGCCTGACAAGCAGCCATTTAAGACTTGTCGATCAGTGCTGATGTAACTCTGCAGGGATTTGGAGGCAGAGGCTGTAATTTCCAAGTAGGTGCCAAAGCTGTCACAACAGATGAGCAACAAGCATCTCTCGGCCCACCGGCATCTTAGCATATCCCTTCTCCACCGTTTTAGAGATAATGGTGAGGTCAGAAACACCTGGGTTTGTGATCCATACCAAAAAAAAAAAAAATGTTGTCCTGATCTTATTATTACCTGATGGAGATCCTGTAAGAAAATCAAAAGCCTATAAAGCAAATGTGTGCAAAGGCCAGCCAAGAATCGCTCCTCCATCTTGGATTGAGTCTGAGGCAGAGCTGCCTTCACAACGGGATAAACAATGACCAACAAACTCATCATAGCATAAAGAATATGCTACCTGCCCGCTGACCATAGCGTCAGCTATTGAAGCATCATCAAGTAAACAAATGAAAGGAAATTCCTCTCATGAAATCTTACAAAAATGTTGTAATACAATAATATGATTACTTCAATGATTATAATGGACTTATTTAACAAATGCAATAAAACCATGCAAAAAAATCATCCATTGTTCTTTATCTATTGTCATGCATTCAGACACCAAAATCATAAAATGTCATACCTTTGTTATCAGCAGCGATAAAACCCAAAATATTCTCATGGCGTAGCATGATGGTCTGATAAATCTCAGCCTCACGAAACCAGGAACGCTCATCTCGTGACGAGAAGATCTTCACAGCAACGTCTTCCCCCCTCCATTTGCCCCTCCACACTTCCCCAAAGCGTCCCTTCCCAATACTCTCCTGCAGGACAATAGTTCGAGCAATCGTTCTCTGGACCAATAGGGGCAATCCTAAAAGAATATCATATAAGCTGTGAGTTAAAGGGTTAAAAAACATACGCTAACTAACATTTGACAATCGTCTTTTTTTGTTTTGATTAGCACAGACAGCTCTTACCTGATCCCGAGCCAGAGGTGCTCATGTCATAGATAAGCTCTTTTAGGCATTTGTCAGATGACACCAGAGTCTGGTCATCCAGGGGTTCCTCTGGATCCTGTTTGTGGGCTTTTATGTGGTTGCACCGCAGGTTTTGTACGGCACACATTCCCAGAATGACACCTACACACACCAGGCACGATGGCACAAGAATTACGGCTGCTAGTTCCAGCTGACTCCACCTAGACCCCTCAGGCGGTGGCTCTACACCAAATACACAAACATACACATATGTTGGTCATCTCATGCAATGTTTTTTATACGGTGATGATATTTGAGAACCATGTCAAATTATGTAACAAGTCTTTGACAAGTTTTTGACATGTTTAATTACATTTGTGAGGTAATTTTCAAAAACCCAAGGTGGAAATAGTGCTGAACGAATACACAACACTTGTGGAGAGAGTTAGCCATCTGAAGTAGTATATATACCATGACATGGTGCATGACATGGTAGAGCCACTGCGTGTGTGAGAAAAAAGAGAGTTTTGAGAGTTGGCGTTTGAAATCATGAGCACTCAATGTAAACCCATGAGATTTTTTAAATTGTATTTTTTATTTTCTTTATTTTTTATTTATTTATTTATTTAGCTTTTTGTTGTTCTAGGAGGAGTTACTCTTGAAAAATAAGGGACTCGGATAATAAAATAAAAAAGTTTGTCAGAACTTGAAATGCCAATTATTCTTGAATGCATTGCTACATGAGATTTCACATCTGCCCTGAAAGTGAATGCCAATGACAAAACAATTTACAATGAACAATATGTTGAAAAAGTTCATTAGTTCATGTCAAGGACTTTCCACACTCTGCACACTTGGTTAATATGAAAGGTTAAATTTTTTGCTGTAGTAAATACGCCATTATTTCCATCACCTTATATGAAACAATGCTGCAGAAGTTTGGATATATGTGAAATGGTTCCACTTTAAACACGTATACAGACCTCATTTTGAAAAATTTCTGGGAACATTGGTCAGTTCTTATAGGGGACATCCCATACTATATACAGTACCTGCCTCATATGATACCATTTTAATTTTGTATTTTGAGTAATATGCTGATATTCCTCTTCACGGGCCTATAAATACCTAATTGAGGAAGTACAACAAAAAAAAAAAGAAAAGTACATGACATCTTGTAATATTATCTCAAAATTCACTAAGCAACTCAAAGAAAAGCACTCTGAAAGCTTTCTCAACTTTTTATGAAACTACTGTAATTACAGTACAAACAAACTTTTTTAATTGCAGATGGCTTGGCCGCAATACATTTTCTACATACATAAACCTGTGAAATGCTTGTGCATACATGCAAATTATTTGTTTACATACATCTATGAAATATTCACGCATCCATACAAATGGGCAGGAAACAGAAATGAATGACTGCTGCTTCTTGACAAGCTCCAGTATTGAGGCAGGAAATATTCTCCCTTCTGGAGATAGGAGCCATAGATGAAGTGCTTCCCTTTCAGAGGGAGTCTGGACTTTTATAGCAGGTATTTTCTAGTTTAAACTGTATAAATTACCATACTCAGCCCTGCTATGGCTTCCTTCGTCTGGAAATCTTAGGGGCGATGGCACGAATGATATGCCTTATATGCATGCAGTGCATGTGCCACCAGCCAACAAATTGGCAAGATTCATGACTTCAGATTGTCACACCTGGACAGCGTTCCCATAGTGTTAGCTATTGATACACTCTCTCGTTCCCCATACTCAGCCCTGCTATGGCTTCCTTCGTCTGGAAATCTTAGGGGCGATGGCACGAATGATATGCCTTATATACATGCAGTGCATGTGCCACCAGCCAACAAATTGGCAAGATTCATGACTTCAGATTGTCACACCTTGACAGCGTTCCCATAGTGTTAGCTATTGATACACTCTCTCGTTCCCTATTCAGGAAACCAAGGTTACATACAGTATATTTAACAGAGACAATATCCCTGTCACTTTTTTTTGGAAGTCTATGGGGTGGTTTCTGGAGTGCTGTAACTGGTTGCAAGGGCATGGTTAGGAAGTTGGTATGTCACTACTTATTGGCTGCTTGCTAGGCAGAGTCAAATGACCTGTCTCTGTGACATTCTGAACCAGAAATATCATCTTACAAATTCCTTGCAGATGTTATGGCTGCCTTATCATTTCCATACTCTAAGTCATATCAGTCTTCTCTTCAATAAGCCAGACTATCTGACACCTTATCTGTATGGAAGAAGAAGCATAACTAACAGTTGCTAGGTTGTTGTAGGTGGTTGCTTGGGGGGTTGCTATAGGGTTTAGCTATGTGGTTGCTGAGACATTGATATGTGGTTACTAGGCAGTTGTTAGCGTGTTGGATGATTGCTAGGGCATAGATATGTGATTGCTTGGCAGTCGTTAGGGTGTTTCTAGGCAGTTGCTAGTGTGATCTTAATGGTTGCTAGGTCAATAGAGTCAAGTTCAGTCAGCTTTATTTATATAGTGCTTTATACAATACATATTGTGTCAAAGCAGCTTTACAGTGTTGAAGAGGAAAATAGTGTGTGGATAATGCAAGAGGAAAATTGTAAACAGTCAATGTTTCAGTTAAAGTCAGTTCATGGTTGATTCAGTGATGTCATCATCCAGCTCAGTTCAGTTCAGTTCAGTTCAAATAGTGTCTGTGCACTCAAGCTGACAATATTGACATAAATTAAGTGTTAAAGTGGCAAACCTTATGTAAACTATATTCCTCTGGTAATTTTTTATGCTGTCATGTGGTTGCTTAGCTGGATCGTTAGACCGATCGTTTATAGAGCGATACCTACTTCCCTGCCCCAATCAGGAAATCAAAACATCATGTTCTGATGCTGAGATATGGCTTGTTCATACATATCATATTGTTAAGAGACATGGTTTCTAAATGTTGCTAGGGCATGGCTAGACAGTTTCCAGAGTGAAACATAAAGCTGTTTGCATCCCAAAGCAAACTATGTAGTGTTGCCGAAATATGGCCAGTGCATAAAGTTCAAAAGATGCATAAAATGCAAGTTGGGTGTTGTGATGGTAGAGTTATATTATCTTATGGAATCTTCTGAAACTACTAAGGTCCAAAAATCTAGAACATGCGAATGAGGCCCTGAAGTAGGTGCAGAAGGTCTTTTATAATCTGGAACATTAACTTTTATAATATGGAACATCCTAATGTGAAGGTTTGCTTGCTGGAGCTTAACTTTGTTGCAAACCTTGTGTTTGTATGTCTTGTGCCTCTCTGGGCCATAGATTCAAAACTTAGTCAATCTGCATTTGTCTCTCTGGCATGGAGACTTGAGACATGCTGCGTAAGTTGAACATAGTGTGTCTGTTTCCACACAAGTTGAAGGATCAGAACGAGGCTGTATCTGTTGTAGCCTCATAAGCCGGAGAGCCAGAACTTTATCGATTAATTATCGGTTAACGTCTCCTACCTCTCTCCTACTGTCCGACTGGATGGGCCAGAGACTCAGAACTTGGCTGCAACAGTACACATACAGATGTGTTAATGTCTCTCTAGACAGACTGTAGGCTCAGAGCATGGTTATATCATTTGTCTCACTGGACAAGCCAGAGACTCCGAAAAAGGACTGTGTGTTGAAGGGTACATTTAGGCCTTTCACTTTTGGGGGGACTAAATTAGCTCCTACTTCAGATTGGCGAACACATGCCATACAAAACACTGTTACGACATTTTTAAAAAGCTGTGTAATCACACGTTGAAACAGTTACAGTACTCTTTTTCCACAATATCGAAACACTGATACACCAATGCTACTACCTCTCCAAAAGTGAGTTCATGCACACCGCAGTGTAATGAGAAGCCTAAACCCTAAAATGCACATTTAATAACATGTTTTTACTCCAAACTCACTTTATAATGTCAGTTGAGTGTTTGACATACCTTTCTTTTGTGATCCAATGTGGCTTCTTATCACAAAATATTTTATTAGTATTCTATACTGTAATAAATGTTATGTCTATTAGCATTGCATTATAAATAGACTTTTTTTTTTTATTATGAGCATACCCGAGATTTGTAGGATGTGTAGTTTACATCAATTTTAAGGTTTCCAAACATAGTTATAAATGTGATTTAGATAAATCCTTGTGGTCTCTCTTTTGGCGCTTTTCCACTGCGTGGTACGACTCGGCTCGGTACGGTTCAGTACGGCACGGCACGGTTCGGCTCGGCTCGGTTTGCGTTTCCACTGTAGTTCAGTACCGCTTTAGAGTGGGCGGGATTATTCACATGTCGTTATAGTTGCGCCGCCTCTACTACCACGACTCCTACAAAAAAACGTTTTCATTCCGCATCGCCCCATCAAGCTCTCGCTGGATCCGCTCCTCTGCTATCAATGAGAGGAACGTCTGTACTTCCGCAACAGACAACAAAACTTTTTGGTTGTTAAAAAAAAGATGCGCTCGTTCAAAACAGTTGCGTTCGATCCTTCGCTGGCTGTGCTGATTTAAATCTAGCGGTTCTTTTGTGTTTGTGTCACAAAAGTACAGACGTTCCTCTCATTGATAGCAGAGGAGCGGATCCAGCCAGAGCTTGATGGGGCGATGCGGAATGAAAAAGTATTTTTAGGAGTCGTGGTAGTAGAGACGGCGCAACTATAACGACATGTGAATAATCCCGCCCACTCTAAAGCGGTACTGAACTGCAGTGGAAACGCAAATCGTGCCGTACTGTACTGAGCCGTACCGAGCCGAGTCGTACCGCGCAGTGGAAAAGCGCCATTGGAACCCCAACCGAGGTGGTACTAAAAAAAGTACTGTACCCAGTGGAAACCCCCCCAAAAGTGAACCGTACCGTGCCGTACCATGCAGTGGAAAAGCGCCATATGTTTCAGTCTGCTGCAGCTGGAGGTCCTAAGCAGCAGACACCAATGCGTATTTGTGTTTGCACTCTGGAGAGCTTCAAAGGTTTCTACAACGTGTTTTTGCAGCATTGAGCAATGTAGCCAATCGCAGACATATCTGTTGATTTCTTGAATGCAATGGCCATTTAGAGGTGTGTAAGTTCAAAATGCATGAATCAAAATGCTGGAGTTGTGTTCAGTGCTGAGTTATGCAAGCTTGCAAATCCTCTCATTGTAACAAACAAGGTGTAGACATGAATAATACATAATAATAAGATCCATTGTGCAGTGTAGAGAGATTCATTATTTATAATGGAACTTCCTGAGATCAGACGGTAAACTGAA